AGCCATACATGCTAACTGTTTAGGCTGTATTTTTCCATCTCCTTCCAGAAAATATGCCTAATTCTAAGACTTAGGAACTATGTGAAGATGTATATTTTTAACTAAATGCTTAAATTTAGCAATCAACTGGTAACTCAATGACATTTTTATAGCATCAATATCTCTATCTTTTTATCTATCATCTACGTATCTATCCATTCATCCATCCATCCATCCATCCATCCATCCACCCATCCATTCATCTATCTATCATCTATCAACTATCTAATTTATCTATCTGGCACTCTATCCATATGGATTAGTAAGAGTTGAACACAGATAGTTGAACGTAATTTTTAGTTTTCACACAAATGCCACCTTTTCAAAATCAGCTGTTTGTCCTCGCAGCACACCCCATGCTATCTCCATTCCTCGTAAACAACCCCTATCCTTGCAAATGACAAATGAAAATAAAAGCACTGCTGGATATAGCAATATAAAAAGCATTTTCCATTTTATGTGCACTTTTCAACCCGGAGAAAATAAGAATAAATTCCTTTTTTGTGCAGCAGTTTCTAAAATATAATCAGAGAGATGCTAGTAGACATTTAACTTTAGATTAGCTTTCTCAAAACTTTTAAGCACTGGAATTCGAGATTTGCTTATACTCTGAAGCTACTCCTTGCTATCTTTTTTGAGCCTCTCTTGGCATCTCATTTTCACGCACCATCTGAGATGACTTGGAAAACATCAGAAAATAACAACACCACTTCCACAAAACAACTGCCTGGACAGTGCGTATTTCTACATCCATCATTTATAGAACTCTGTTTCTGGGAGAAATTTTATTTTAAGTTTCAATACTAAAACATGTTATTTTTGGAGTTGGCTGCTTCAATCAGTAACTGTAGTCAGAGCCTACACCCAGAAGCAGCTTATTTTTAAATAATTAGAATAAGAAATACTGCTAGCTGTTATTTTTTAATTGCTGGAAAGGAAAATATTTTTTTTTAATTATTAGCTTGCTGTATGCGTGTTTTAAAATGATTGTGCAAGAAGGTATCACGTGATATTTTACTATAAACACAAGCCCCAAAATGTAGCAAAGTGTGTGGGTCCTACTGTAGCCCTCCTTCCTTCTTCATGCAAATGAGACTAAGAACTCAACTTATAGAGTAAGATAAGCCTGAATTTCATCGCTGAAAAACTTGAGGAAGCAACTTCATCTGTAGAGATCAATATCTGAAATCATTTAAGATACATTTTTTAAGATTCATAAAAAGTATTATATTTTTGGTCTTTGTAGTTGTCTTTAAAAAAAAATTAACAGAAGAAAACACATACTCATACACATATATGTATTCATTTAATTGCTTATGGAAGGATAGGCAATGCTCATTGGAACGTTCAATTTCATTGAATGAATATAATGCAGACATTTTAAATAATAATGAAAATAGGTGTGTGATATTTTGTTATTAAAAATTGTTGACTCAGTTTTCTTATACCATGTATGTATATATACATGTATACAATCAAGCAAATATATAAATATAAAAGTACAATAAGTTTATATGCATGTATTTACTGTCTCAGTTATATGTTTATATAACCATATAACTGCAACATACAAAAATAATAAAATAAGTTATCTCTGGGTTAGACGATGAGGGGAATTTTGATTTTACTTTTTACCTTTCTGTATTCAAATTATATTTGAAATAAAAAATTATCATATCCAACATAATATTTATTTACTATCAGAATTATACTGGAAAAACATCTACACTTTATGCTAGTCACTTATGTGCCTAAGTCAATCAGCACTGAATAACAAATTTTAAATATTGTCCGTCAATGTAGAATATTGTATGTGATTTCCTCTAGGTATTATCATGTGATAACTTGCTATTAAAAAAAACAAAACTAATCCTCTCAAGGGTTTTGCATTCATCAACTTTATTTTCAGTTCAAAATTTTAACATATTTTCACATATTTCTTCTGAAGTTTTAATCTCTGCAAAAGTCATGTTAAAACTAGAAGGAAAAGGTAGGAGAGTGAGGAGTGGAAGCAATTAAATTTAATTTGGATCTTAGAGAGAACTGAAAACATTTGCTTCTTTATTTTTATGCCAGTTTCCAAAGAAAACAGTTCTAATTTTAGCTGAATGAAGATTTCTGTTTTGTTTTATTTTTGTTTTGTTTGCCTTTTTTTTGCCTTTGGTAACTTTACTTGGATCACATTATGAGAAAATACTTAGAATTTTCTCTCAGTTCCCACAATATTACCATATATTCTTCGAACTGTTGGCAAAATGGATCTAGTTTATAAAGTCATTCCTTTTGCTTTGAGCTTTTGCCTATCTCATATATTTAGATAAATTTGAAAGCAAAAGCAATACGCACTTTGTTGAAAGTCTTTAATAGTATGGTTGAAATTTGTAATTTGAAATTCCTAAGTTCAAAGAATATTTATCTACAGCATGATTTTACGCTTGAAACTTCCTATGCTTCACAGCAGCTGGTAAAAAAAAAAATGAGGCAGAAAAAATAATTCCTTCTATCATTCAGAGCAATTTTTCTTATATTTAAGTAAAATATAAGAAACTTTTAAAGAAACATCAAAATCTTGTTTCCTTTCATTGCTGCCATATTCTTTATATTACTCTACTCAACCTGGTACAAATGCAAATGCTTATTATGCTCTTATACAAATACACTTTTAGGGCAAATTTTGAAGTAAATATAAATTTATAAAATGAACAAATTTATTTTAGTAGTATTAATGTAAAGATTATTTACTAAACTTCAACCAAAATATTGAGTTTAAGAGCAAAGATGTAGCCATAGTTGAGCTTGTATTTATTCTGGCTATATTTGTGCCCTGATATTACTAATATTAAGACACAGAAAGCTTATTTGCAAAAGGATATAATTTAAAATGTTTTTAAAACTTTGTGTGTGTGCTGAAACATTAAGCAAAACAGAACACATTCTTAATCAAATTTTTTCCAGAAAGTTGTTACTTTATGCAAGTTTTAAGGCACATCCCAAAAGGTTATGTGTGTTGTAAAAGTTTAACATTTTTGAGGAGGGTTGATCTGGTGACTGGAATGAGCTTTTAAACATAAAAATTTGAATTTTGAAATCAGAAGGCTGTACCAAATAAGCAATAATAGTTTAAAACATGTAGATCAGCATCTGAATAAAAAATAATTGATATTATATTATTTATAAGAATGCATATCATTATATATATGTTTTTATATTAGTTATGACAATATAGATTTATAAGAATGGTCTTAGAAAAATAAAGATATTGTGATATTTTATGTTCACATTCATTTATTTGTAGCTAATTTATAAACCTCTAAGGCCATGTTCATCTTTCATGTATTCCTCAGTTCCATTTTAAGAAACTGACTTACACTGTTACAATAATAATTTCTCTTCCATTTTGCTCTTTCTTATTATTCTCTTATTAAGATTCATGGGTATCTTATGCCATGTTATAACAAAGTGAACTATACATGTTGAATTTTTTAAAAGATTATCTGAATTTCAATTTATATCTATATTACAAAATAGATATTTTATATATAGAATAACTTAGAAGAAACTATTTGTGAATTTGAAAGAATAATCAGTGAGTCTAACAATTATCTAGTAGATTGGCTAACTCATTCAAACTCAATCTGTTAAAATGAGATACTCTATCTGAAAACTTCTGAATGTGCCAGTTCTCTCCTCTGTTTTCAAATAAAAAGGGTTCAGTGTTTTCTGTGTTCCTTTACTTTATCTACCTCTGGACTCACTGATTTCCATCTTTAGGATATTTGGAAGGCATATTTTTTGGAGTTTCTGTGCTAATTTATTTTTATTGCTATGACTACATAAAATGCAACAAGCACATTTAAGATTTGTTTTATAAAAATGTTATCCTTAAAGGGATATCAACTAACAAAATAAAAAACATTCAAAAAAATAGTTATATTTATGCCTGTTGATGTATCTGGGGTTATAGTTTAGTTTCAATCTTGACAATGCATAAAAAAATATGACCAGGTGCAGAGAAGCTCACATCTTTTATTTCAGTATTTTGGGAGTTCAAGAGAGGAAGATTACTTTAGGTCAGGGGTTGGAGACCAGTTTGGAAAACACAGAAAGATGCTGTCTCTACAAAAAAACAAAAAAAAAGAAAAAAATTACTCAAGTGTAGTGGGATGTGCCAAAAGTCCCAGCTACTCAGGATGGTGAGGCTGAGATGAGAGGATCTATGAGCCCAGGATTTTGAGGCTGCAATGATGTATGATCCCACCACTGAAACCTAGTCTGGGCAACAGATCTTGTCTCAAAAAAAAAAAAAAAAATGTTGGCCGGGCTCGGTGGTTCAGCCTATAATCCCGCGCTTGGGGAGGCCAAGGTGAGTGAATTGCGTGAACCCGCGGGTTCGAGACTCTCCTGGGCAACTTGGCAAGACCTCATGTCTACAATAAATTAAAAAAAATTAGCTGGGCGTGGTAGCGCGTGCTTGTAGTTCCAGCTACTTGAAAGGCTGAGGCGGAAGGGTCGCTGGAGCCCAGCAGGTCGAGGCTGCGGTGGCCGGGAGCGTGCCACTGCACTCCAGTCTGGGTGGACAGAGTGAGACTCCAACTCAAAAAATAAAAAAGTTAATAAAAAAATACAACGGATTGAGAACAGGATAATAGAGGAATGAATATGTGGTCTAACTATTGATGAAGCAAGTAGATTGAAAGATGAATGGTGGAATGTCTGGGGTATACAGATGTATGTGTGCTCAGTGTGTACTTTATCAATTTTTTGTTTAAAATTTTTATAATAAAAAAAATTGGAGGAAAAAACACAGGAAAAATGATCGTAAGATTTTTTATTTAACACTTCTGAATGAATAAATTATACTAAAAAGTATAACTTTTTAATATGTTTTAATATGGCAACCTTAATTTAATTAGTGTTTCTCTCTCTCTTTCTTTCTCTCTCTCTCTCTGTTTCCCTCAAAGCTCCATTCCGACTTAGACAAGGGAGAGGGCACTGTTAAATATACTCTCTCGGGAGATGGCGCTGGCACCGTTTTTACCATTGATGAAACCACAGGGGACATTCATGCAATAAGGAGCCTGGATAGAGAAGAAAAACCTTTCTACACTCTCCGTGCTCAGGCTGTGGACATAGAAACTAGGAAGCCCTTGGAGCCTGAATCAGAATTCATCATCAAAGTGCAGGATATTAATGATAATGAGCCAAAGTTTTTGGATGGACCTTATGTTGCTAGTGTCCCAGAAATGTCTCCCGTGGGTGAGTAAGCAAATCAAAATTCTGTCAGATGCTACAAGACCTTGCCAACATTCACTTTTGCAGGTTAATGTAAATATCCTATTTTTAACCCAGAAGAACACATTTCAATTGTAGTGAATACAATTATTTTCATTTTGAAATATTTTTCTATTTTTCTTTCTGCTCCAATATAAAAATAACTATTAGAATATATATACATAAGTATATATAAATATAACTATCTTTCAACCTGTGGATTCACCTAAACTCATAGAATCCCTTTGTGCTTTAAGTACAAAATTCATTTTGAATTGATTGTCACCAATTTCAGACACTAACAAGTATACAACACTTACGATAACTACCACACATCACTAAATACCAGATAGTAATTCTTAGTTTAAAGTAAGTTATCTAAAGTATGCATTGTGTCTGATCTGGAAGTGCTCCAGAAAGAGGTGTGTTGCATCTTTTGTTGCTATTGATAGAGATTCTAGAAGGATGATATGTTTCCTTTGCAGGTGGAAGTAAATTACAATTCTATGTTATACTATCAAACCAAGGAGCAAATAATATTGCGAAGTTATTAGAATGAGTTTATAATTCTACTACAGTAGCATAATCATCCTAAAAATTTAAATTTGACATCAATTTACATTTCAATATCAGCCAAAATTTACAAAGTCCTATACATGTATTTATAAAGTAAATAAATTAAAAATTCTGACTTTCAGGATACTTTTTTAAATCGAAATTTTTATACCTCAGTCATCATTTGCTAATTCTTCAATTTATTTCAACGTAACTTTTGGTTTTTCTCACATTTGGAAGATAAAGCTACTCATCACATGTAGGTTACAACATGAAATTCTTGTGTGGGAGCCATTGCTAATATTTCCAACGACTGACGTGTCTCCGAGGGCATTCTGCTCCTACAAACACCCAGGACGTGCAGTGAAGAGTGTGCATGCTACCCTGAGGGTGGAAGCAGGGTAGTGATTGTAAGAGTTGTCACATGGAGTTTCTATAAATGCACTTGAAATTGAATATGTGACCTTCTTAGACATTTAAAGGCCATAGTCTCTTTTTGGCCTAAGAAACCAGCTCAAATTAGTTCACTAAGATTTCAAAATTTTAATGTGCATTCCCAGGCTGCAAGTATGTAATTCAGTATCTGTTATATTTTTTTCATTTGTCTCTTTTATGCAGTCTTATGATTGCTAGGCATTTAAAAATCCAGTTGGACTGAAGCATGTCTTGTTAGAAAGTAGTCCCAAAAAATGGAGAAGGCCATCTATTAACTGTGCCTTAATTTTATAGTGGAGGATAAAGAAAGGTAATATATTAGAATAAGGCTTTAAGAAGACATGCTTTTTAATAGATAAATAGTTTAACTCAGTGCCTACTTCATGTATATTGGAAATAGTGGTATAAATTGATGTCCCTCAGTGACTTTTTTTTTAACTTTTAAAATTTAATTAATTTTAAAGATATGGGGTACAATTCAGGATTAGGTATACAAGTGATCATTGTACAGGTAGTTAGGCCTCCCTTTCGTCCCCACTTCACCTGGTTTGAGATCCGGTACCCTTACTGATGTTGTGTACCCGCCTCCCCTGGGATTTTCCACTACTGCCAATCCCCTTCTTACAGAAATATGATAAATGTTCAAGGTCTGCTTATGAGTGAGAACATGTGGTACTCAGTTCTTTGTTTCTATGTGAGACCACTGAGTATTGTAGACTCTAGATCCATCCAAGTTGCTCTGAAGTCCACAATTTTGGAGTGTAAACTAGTATAACCTCTGTGGAAAATAGTTTGGCAAGTCCTAAAAGATTCAAAAATCGACCTTCCATGTGACCCAGCAACTCCACTTCTGAGAATATGCCCAGAGGAACTCCAATCATTCTATAACAAAGATACCTGCGCATTCATGTTTATTGCAGAATTATTCGAAATAGCAAAAACATGGAACCAACCGTGCTGCCCATCAAAAGTGCACTGGATTAAAAAAAATGTGGTACATATACACAATGGAATGTTATGCAGCCATAAAGAAGGACAAAATTATGGACCTCGGTGACTCTTTATTACCAAAACAGCATCCCCAAAGCAAGCATACATCACTCTATTAGAAAATTATGCCTTAATAGATAAAACAATTAGGTCTTTTGTTGTGCTTGTTAGAATAAAGGATAGGACTGCAGGGTCAGCACCCTATGTATAAGTTGTTTGCAGCTAGATATTAAAGAGAAAAATCTTTCTGGAAAATTAGAAGGATACGTAAGTGAAAACAAAGTAGTTTCAGCTTTTGCAGTTGGGGTGGCACATAATTTATTCTACTGTAATATTGGACAGATCATGGAAGAATAGGTTCCCTAAAGGATTTTGCCATGTGCCATTACTGAAATTTTCCACTGGGTGTTCAAAAGACTCTGGTAAATACATACATTGATTTTTAATGCGCCACCCTCTCTTTTTTTTTTAATAAGAGAAGAAGAACTCTTTTGAATATGAAACTGTATTGCATTGTATGAATTAGTCCAGGTATTCTTGGACTGCGTTTGCATAATATGCACTTTTTAAATAAACTCAAAAAGGTATAAACACTACTTATGAATTAAATGTTAAATATAAAATATCTGTCATGCATTATTTTCCCTTCTCCACAGTTCCACCTATTCACATAGAACCAAAAAATACAGGAGATTCTGTTAGATTTATGGTATTTGCTATTTCTGCTTTTACATGACCTACCTAAACCTAACCAGCAACTACTGTGCATCTGGAACTTATGTTTATATTCCTAGAGTACTTGAACATCAATGTCAAGTACGCTTTTCTTACCAGATAGAAATGGTTCACTACTTTAATAATCTAAGAAAAAATATCCTTTTCCCTATTCTATTTTCCCCATCCAATCTAGGCAATCCCACCTCTGTATTAGTTTCCTTCAAATATTAAAATTTTAGTCAAGTCCAGATGGAACTTTGTATGGTGTATTTCAGTATACCTATATTGTTGCAACCAATCTCACTGTCTGTGGTAGATACTCATGTTTGAGGTATTGTTTAGGGAATAAGTATTTTCCCAATGCTGCCATTTCATTTTCAACAAGAGGGAAGAATTAAATCATTTTAAAGGCATGTAGTGAAATAACTTATTATACAAAGCAGAAGATAAAGAAATATTGTAACATTAAAATGAAGTCTATTATGCAAATGTTAACTTAATAGTGATGGATTATATATGTAAAAATAGGAAGAAACAAACCTGCAATGAAAATCAACTAAAGTGAAAGAATATAAATGTACAAAAGGAGAATGGTGGTGAGCAGAGAGGGTCAAGATTTCAGGAGAAAAATCAATATTTAAGACATATACCACTATGAAATATACTTAATTCCCTAAAGTTAAAGGAAATTCTAGTGAATCTATGAATTGTTTAAGAGAAAGGTCATTCTGTTACTAACTTCTGCTACATCCAATGTGCCGTGGAAGTAATATTCAAAGATAAAGGGTTTTTACTCCGACCTAAGGAAATTACTTAATGATTCAGATATTCTCTAACTCAAAGCTACTCCTTGGAGACAAATTTAGACTATATGAATGTGGTCTTAATTCTTTAAGATCACTAGAGTAACAACGAATTATAATCATGTATCCTTTTTTAATATCTGATGATTATGCATCAGTAGGGTGTGCAGTTGAAGTTACTTCTTCCAGAGTGCTGACAGGTTTAGTGTGTTCAAATCCATATTACACTTGTATTATCATCCTTTGCCCGAGCTAAACCACCTTGAGGCAACTGATTGGACCATCAATAACTGGGTTCCTATAATATATTATAATAGATATCAATTGTGAATTGCAATTTATATGGTAAGACTTGCATTTCCTAAGAAGTAGTTAAGTGCCAGAAGATCTAACCAGAGATTTGTATTTTTCATTTTACTTAACCATTGCCGTCACCTCATGCAGTATCATTCACGTTTTATCTTTTAAATGTGAAAACTTAATAACTCCTATGTATAAAGAAGTAGGAATAACCTCCAGGCTCTTTGAAACAAAATTAATCACAATTAAGTGTCCCATATTTCCAGGCATAGTGACTACTAAAACATCTTTAGGAAACTTAAGTTTAGCTTTCGATCTCAGATAGCCTGGTTACAAGTTTGGAATTATCTATTCTGTTCTGTTCTATCCTATTCTATTCTATTCTATTCTATTCTATTCTATTCTATTCTATTCTAAAATTGGAGGCCTTCCTTAAAACAAAATGGGAGAAATAGGTATCTCACATCCATTACTTTAAAAAAATAAGTTTATATGAAGTTTAAATAAAATGAGGTACACCTAAAGGAAATCAGGCTACAGGCTTAATAAAGACAATTAACAGGTATGCCCCTGTTTTTTTTGTTTTGTTTTGTTTTGTTTTTCCTCTGAACTCAATTTTGTATTACATGAAGTTTAGAAAGAAATACTAAGATAAAATTTTGGTTGGACTTTTTTTAGAGGTTATTAACCAGGCAATATATTCTACATGGTCATATTTAAACAGTCTAACTCTAGGAAGGAGATAGTGAAGACTATGATTATACCTTACATTATTAAATCATTATTATACAAAAAAACATATGTACATTTTTCACACGTTCTTATTTTCACATATGTACCATAGACAGAACAAGAAATAGTGAAGTAGGTATATTGTCTTATCACATGATCCTCCAGTAAAAGAGGCTAAAGTTGTATACTAGGAACAGGTGAACTCTCATCAGTTTCTGCCTGGGCCCCATCTGCAGAGTTTTTATCAGGAGCTTGTTGACTCTTTATTTTCTACATATAAAGATGTTCTATTTATATAATCAAAATATAATCTTTAAAAGTCAGACAATTGGCATTAATGTATTCTTATAATCTAATCTTTAGACCTATGTAAGCTACATCACTAATCTCAATAATGAATAATGACTTACAGAACCAAACATTCAAGTTTAAAAAACATATACTGTATTAAAATGTCCATT